GATTTCATGTCTACCAAGTTTGCAGACCAAATAGGTATCAGGAAACTTGCATTAGCCAAACCTCTACCTATACAATTGGCAGTACAAGGCTCTAGATTGAAAGTAAACTATTGTACTAACACTAGAATACAATATGGAGAGATAAACACAATATAGCACTTTGATATTATGAATTTGAATAACTATGATATTATACTAGGAACACTGTTCCTCTTCCAGCACAAGATTTCTATCAGTTTCAATGAGTCTAGACTATGGATTGAAAGTGCAATACCTCTACCAATAACAGGAGAACAAGTCACAGTCGTTTCATCAAAGGTTATTAATACTTATGATTGAGAAGTTAACAAATGCAGACAAGAAATCAAACAATATGCTACAGATTTGTTCAAAGACACTTCAGAAACGCCTCTACCACCTCTCAGAGCTATTAATCATAGTATACCACTCATAGATGAGGATAAGAAATACAAGTTCTGTAGGGCAACTTGTCTGGATCCTTTGTGAGAGTAATAGCAAAACAAGAGAAAGGACTATATTCAATCAGGAAGATGGAAAGTAGTTACAGGATCAAACGTGATGCCTATGCTACTACTTCAAAAGCTTAGAAAGACTAAGGAAGACTCTATACGATTGAGAACCGTCATTGATCTTAGAGAGTACAACAAGAATACTAAGAAACTATCATCTCCTTTACTAGATATCAAATCAGTATTGAGGAGAGTAGCTTCTAAGAAGTATAAATCACTCATTAATGGTAAAGACACATATGAACAGATTAGAATAATCCCTGAGCATGTAAACAGATCAATATTCAACACTCTGGATAGAACAATAGTTAGTAAAGTAATGCAATTAGGTGATTGTAATAGTAGAGCCACCTATCAAGTGTTAATGAACCACATTTTCCAGCCTTACTTGGGTGACTGGATGGATATTTACCTAGATGACTTAGTGATTTATTTAGACACGATTGAGGATCATATACAACATCTCAGAACTGTCATTAATATATTGCACAAGGAGAAATTCTACCTTAGTAAACATAAGATACAATTGTTCCAGAAAGAATTGAAGATACTAGGCCACATTATTGATGATCAAGGCATTAGAATGGACCCTCATAAAGTCGATTCTATTCAACAATGGAAAGTACCTACTAATAAAGATTTGTTACAAGGTTTCTTAGAATCAGTAGGGTATTTAGCACCCAATATACCTCAGTTACACATTTCTACAGGTATTTTATCAAAGATTGCAGGAGAAACTGCATTTTTCAGATGGACATTCACTGAACAGCAAGTGTTTGATCAAATAGTAAAGCTAGTATTGGATTTCAGGCATAATCACAGGATAGTATTGGACTATAGTAAGAATGCACCACCTATCAACATTGTTACAGACACTTTGGCTTCAGGAATTGGAGGAATAGTCAGCCAAGGTCATGATTGGAAAGATTCCAAGATAGCAGCATTTTTCTCAGTGAAATTAAACCCTGCACAACAGAATTACCCAGTACACAATGTAGAATTACTAGCAGGAGTAGAAACTATGCTAAGACACAAGAATCTACTACAAGGAATGCATTTCTTTTGGTATACCAATCACAGAGCATTAGAACACATTCTAAGGCAACCAGTATTAAGTGGAAGACAAGCTAGATAGCTAGAGAAGATATCAGACTTTGATTTCACTGTAAAATACATTCCAGGCACTACAAACATTCTTGCAGACATGTTATCATACATATACTCAGGAGATTTACTAGGAACAACTTGATCTCAGTAAGAATATACATTGCAACTCAATGACAATGATCTATCAAGGATTAATCAAGTCAGGAATAACATTTCACAGCTGTTAGAGATACAGGATACTGTATATATCAAGGCTAGACTAGCAGTAGTAAGGAAAACTTCACCTTGAGGATCAATTGCAAGTTGACTGTACAGTAGAAAGGCTAGATTAATTACCAGACATGCTAGAAACTCACAGACAGACCTCTAAACAGAGGGCAGGCCTGCTACAAGGACTAGAAGCTAGTTTATAATACCAGAGAACACAGAGCAAGATCAGGAAACAGACACACACAGTAAGGTATTGGAAATGCTGCCTCAGGACACTGAACAATCAGATTTGCATGAAATAAATTCACCTACAAACGTACCAGACACTGGAAGTAATACACAAGGATACAGACATTCAGACAATGATATTAGATTGGAAA